ACAGTGGTCGACCTTCAGAGGGTTGTAGGGCTCAAGGGTTCAGCTGTTAGGTTTCGGATCGACTACTTGGTTAATTACCCATAGGCCCCTAAGTAGTTCCTTTTTGGGACTACCTTATAGGACTAAATATGAACCATAAAAAGGAACTACTTAGGGGCCCATGAGTAAGCCTGTTAAGTGGTTCATTTGGGTATTCAAGTTTTGGGGGTACAGTTTCGTGAACCTCCAAAAGTGTACGTTTAGTCGACCCTCGATTGATTTCGGGCGGAGGGTTTGCGACCGCAGAGCACTCAGAGAGCCCAATACCCCTTAATTAAGGAATATACCTTAAATCATAATATTAAGGCCCCTATAACTTAAGGTATATTCCTTAATTTAGGGGTATTGGGTTCTCTGGGCAAGAATCTGCGATACCTTGAATCCTCCACACCATTGGCCAAAGACCAAGCCGGACAACGCAATATTACGCTCTGACGTCAACATCCTAAACTCCAACCCTAAACCCTAAACCCCCCAACCCTAAACTCCTGAAGGCCACCTTCCTCAATCCTCCGCGCGACAGGGTGCCAAAGACCCCCCCAAAACACCTTGCACCCCTCGCCTAGGTTCAAAGCGCCCACCGCATCCGCCAGCGCCGCCCCCAGCAGAGAATCGTGCCATGGTGCGGTTTTGGCTTCGTGGCGTGTTGCGTTCACGAGCGTGACCCCAAGACCGAACCCATCCACGAGTATCACAGGGAGCGTGTCATCCTCGACAGGACTCCTTGCATGAAATTGAGGCACCACTATCTGCATGGTCTTGGCAGAAATGGGGGTTTAGCGGTTAAGGATTAAGGAGTTAGGGTTTGGGGGATAAGGGTTTGGGGGTTTGGAGCTTAGGGTTGCAAGTGAGATGTTGTCGAATCGAATTGTTAAGCCACAAACCTATTGTTTTTTTGGGGTTACACCCTTCAGTTATTAAGGGGCCCTAAACCCTAAACCCTAGCCTACTATTTTGTAGGGGTTGGGGATACAGGCGTGGCCTAGGCCTAGGTTGAGAGATGCAGTCCAGGCGGCGCTGCTTTCAAGGGTCGCGTCATGCTCGCATTGAATTGGCTCTGTGCTTTGAGCCCCAGGGGTTCTTCTACTACATGGTATTGTGATGGTTTAGGGGTTAGGTTTAAGGTTTAGGGTTCAGGGTTTGAGGCAAGGGTTCGATATGGTTTCGGGTTCCGTGGACGGCCTCCACTTCGTTACACCCCGAACTTCATGGTGACGCAACCCCCTAAACCCTAAACGCTAAACCCTACACTGACCTTAGAGATTTCGAGGGCCGGTCCCGGATGGTCTTGAAACGCCACTTGGTCAGCGTCCTGACGATGAGCCCGTGCAACAGCAGCTTGTTGGACTTATTCTTAGATAGCCAATGGGAGAGCTTTAAACTTTTTGGCCTTATATATTATGTCTATTCTAAAAAGTTTGAACTTTTCTGAGCCTGGTTGTTGAAGAAGAGAGTAATGGATCCTCAAGAACATCAACCTCAATCCTAAACCCTAAAGCCTAAACCCAGTATAAGTAAGCATACGTTTATCCAAAACCCCTAAGTCTTGATGGCAGCACGTCACTGGGAGCATCTCAGAACCCTAAACCGCCTAAACCCTAAACCTCACCCCTCAAAATTCGAAACCCGAAACCCCCAGAACCCGAAACCCCAAAACCCGAAACCCTAAACCCTAAACCTCAGAACGAGGGTCCCTTGCTCATAGCTTCCTTTGCCGCGGCTCTCCTTGGTGGCGGCAGCGCCGCAATCGAACAAGCCGCCGAGGACCAGCTCGGGTTTGAACATCTTTGAGGGTTTAGGGTTTAGCGGTTT